TTTTTTCCGGTCTTCCCGGTCTACCAAGGACCCGGCCCGCCGAGACCGGGGAGTCTGGGTCCTCCGGAGGACCCGTCCTGCCGTTTTGGACACAGCCATGAAGTACAGAAACATCCATCTGTTATCTCTGCCTGCTTCTTCCTGTCAGGGTCACTGATGCCCACATCCAGCAGTCAGTGTTTGAGGGGCGGGGCACACCCTGGACAGGTCGCAAGTCTATTACAGGGACACATAGAGACAAACAACCATTGAATTTAGAGTTACCAGTCAGCCTAACAGTCCTATTTTTGGTCTGCATGCACAGAGAGAGCATGCAAACTCTACCCTGAGTTTCAACTCAGATTCAATTCAAGTTCTGAAATGAAACAGCTGTTATAACAGGGTCATCCTCTCTTTCAGGTGTTGCCAGAGTGTTTGCACTTTATTCAAATGGCATCCACCTTCTCAGTGTCATCAACGTTATGGTGAGCAGTGGTTATTTTTTTTATATCTTTGATGTTTTTGTTTTGTTAGAATAATGAAATTCAGTCTAGAAACAAAATAATAAACCATTTCCCCAACAGGAAGACGTCAACAAACGAAGCATTTGTTTGACGTTTGAGCTATATGAGGGGGGGCGTTACGGAGCTGCGTCATTCAGCTGTGAGTACAGAACACTTTTAGCTTTTGAAGTGTTTTTTTTTTACATTCAGATGCTGAAATAAACTCTGTGTTTTGTCAGGCAACAGTGCCGCGTGGCTCAAGGTCCTGCAGTTTCCTTTAGCAGCGTGGCTGAAAGAGTTAGAGACGGCAACATCACAAAAACAGGTAATGAACTGTAATTTAATAAAACTTTAGCTGTGTATCAGGCATCCTGTAAACCAACCCAAAACCCTGGTTTTTTACTTTAATTACTCTGAGTTCTTTTAGTTAAACATAGACATGTTTGATATCTACAGAAATGTCAGAATCTTGGCAACAAATTGGTAAAAAAAAAAACATTTCATTGAACACCCAAGACAGTTAAAACTACAAGCAGTTGAAGATAAAACTATGAAAATGAAAATAAAATTGGTTTAAAAATTTGGCAAGTCAGAGATGTCAAAATAATATTTGTGGTAAATAAGAGGCAGAATGTGTTCCTTTTGTTTTTGATATTATTTTATTATCACTACTTTTATTACATGGGGTTCTGTATGTTGTATTCACGACTAAATGCATAAACTATTTCAAAGGTAACAGATCTTACTTGGTTTTATTTACATAATAACTTTAATTGCTATTGGCCTGCAGTAACTGTGGCAATTTAGTTGAATAGCCCTGCTGTGAACGTAATTCATTACAAATCAAAAGGTTCAGCTCCTTCAGGACAGTCTGGTTATGATTTTTGGTATTTCAGCAACTTAGACTTTTTGAGATATTTAGTCTTTTCTGCCATTTTTTTTTTCATTAAAAATGAATGGAGCTGTCAACGTCCTTAAAGTGCCTGTGACGTGCATATACTTCAAATACAAAAAGTCAAAGAAAACATTTTTATGTTTAAGAAAGCTGGAATAATAAACATGATTTAACCCATTTTGTCCCATAACTGGCATATTTTCTTTTGAACTTGGCTCAGCCAAAGTGAAACAGGAAGTGACATCAAAGGGGAACTCTTTAACAAAGAAAGCTCTCTGGTCTTTGTTTGTTAAAACTGTATTATTTGAACTCTGACTCTTCATCTCTCTGATAGTGACTCAAAATAATCTTAAACATCAGATTCTCCTCTACAGTCTGGGTTGTTGGCTGTTGTAGCAGCGCTCTGTTCACATGCAGACGTTCCCCTTTGACATCACTTCCTGTTATTTTACAGAAAAATATCTCAACAACTGTTCATCTCAACAATGTGAAATTTATTTTGCAATATTTTATCAATGTCCTCTTTTCAAAAATGCATTCATATGTGTTACAAAAATTTGATGCGACAGGCACTTTAAAACCCTTTTGTTTATAAATCTTTTTTGCGATTTTAAATTTTTGTTCTGATTCAGATTTTTTAACTTCTTCGTGATGATTTCAGCTTCCTTTAGCTTATTTTTTTGCCAGTTTTAGCTTTTTTCTGCACCTTTCAGCTAATTTCAATTGCTTTGTTTCTTTTAGCTTCTTTAGGCTAATTTATGCCTTTTTGTGCTTCTTTCAGCTGCCTTCTGTCTTTTAGCTATTTTCAGCTAAATTTAGCTTTGTTTCAGCTGAATTCACACACAAACACGCTCTTTCTGGTTCTTTGTTCTAATTTCTGTTTTTTCTGCAACTTTTTTGAGTAAATTTGATCTATTTTAGATATTTTACAACAAATTGCAACTTTTTTGTACTTCTTTTCCTTTTTTTTCTAATTACCTTTTCCCCTCCTTTCATCACCTGTCTGCTAATTTAAACTTGTTTATAGTAATTTTAGCTTCTTTTTGCTAATTTTAGCTACTTTTACTTGACTTCAGCAACTTTCAGTAAAAATCTTTGAACAAAAATCGTTCTCTCTGCATTTTTGCAAGAAATGCCAATTCTTTATTTGGCCTTTGTTTCGAGCTGACAGACAGATTTACCCGTCTTTTTTTAGCCTCAGGACCAAAACGTATCTGAAGAAATGGGTGTCAAATGGTCTCCGGTGACAGTGATGAACAAAATCACCCCTTATGAAGTCCCATCAGGTAAATGTTTTACAACTAAATGTCATGTACAGCGTCTGTCTCACAGCACTTATTTTAAATTATATATCTAAATGAACCATCCATCTGTACTCTTATGGAGTAAAATTTAAAATAAAAAATTGTGTTCCTGCTGATCTGTAGGGAGAACAGGGAACAATCCACTCGGGCCCGGCCGTACATCGGACTACTTCACACACTGCTTGGCTCTGGACGTCATCAGAGGCAGCAGCCATCAGAGAGGGAAGTTATCTTTCTGTGCAGATGCTGGTCAAACAAAGGAGACACGTGGAAGCTCAAGGTGAAATTAGGTTTAGGCAAATACAATCAGCATTTGACAGCTAGACTGCTTTGTTTGACTTCATTTAATTAGCCTTTATTTATACAGGTAATCTCATTGAGACACGTCTCGTTCTCGAGGGAGAGTGGTTTCTAACAAACGTACAAGATAACAATTTAGTTACAAACAGATGCAATTACCGTTACAATGCATACATTTAAATAAAAGTATCAAATAAAAGCAGAATAAACTTTGCAAAGCTCTTCCTCCCTGAAATACATTTAAAATCCCTTACTGAAWTGCTAAAAGCTGCAATAATGAAGGCTAGTTTGTGTACACGATGCAGAGTGTGTATAAATATTTAGATTTACATTAGTTACATGTAATCTCTTTCAGGAGTTGTACTTCACACTTTCTCCTGCCTTGTGGAGGGTTTTCTGGTGTCAGTAAAGCAGATTTTCAGTCAGGTTTGTAATGAAGGATGTGTTTTCGGGTTATCTTTTAACAAAAAATAAAAGTGTTTCACACAAAATTCCTCAACATCCATTCCCACTGAAAAAACATCTGCATTCTGTCTGTTTCTTACATTCAAACTCTTGTACCTGCCAGTCTGACTGACATTTTGAAAGTTGTTTTTTGCCCCTCTTTAGGTTTGCCTGTTGCTGTTGCTGTGTGGTGGACTGGGAGCCATAATCTCCTCCAGTATTCACTCCAAAACGCTCCAAAGAACAAACCAGGGAGGACATTTAACGTGTTCAGTTGAATGCTGCCCATGTAATATATTATTAGTATACTAATAACACATTTAGTCATTGTTGTGTTTTTGTCTGCCTTTATCTGAAGCAGATATGGCACCCCTACCAGACGTTCTGTGGCCGAATGCGAAGGAAATTGTCTGCTCGTCTGTCAGCAGGTGCACCCGGTACATAGGTCTTGGGCTTGAAGATGCTGTGGTGTGTATCTGGGACAGGCGATCCGGTGAGCTAATCTCTGAAGAGAGAGCTGGAAACACATGATGTTGTGTGTGTGTGCACCATCAACTGAAGAGCTTATTTTAGTTTAAATCCCTACAAGCCAGTGGTCCTCTTCATTATAAGTTCAATAAAAGCAGGAAATTTGTCTTTATTCTGTGTTGTAGCAGCTGGTCCGGCCACTGGTTCTAACAAAGTGACCAAGAGTTTTAACTGACACACTTAACGGTTTCTTTCAAGCATAAATCAGATTTTTAAGGTTAGGACAATAGTTGAAAATTAGAGACATTGATACTACCTGAAGATACTGAAGGACCAGGGGTCTCATTTATAAAGGATTGCGTGGAAACCATACTAAAAGTGAACGTACGGCCAAAAGGCGGAAATGGCGTACGCCAAAAAATTTTCAGATTTATAAAACCGTGCGTACGCACGTTTCTGCGCATCTTTCCTTTATAAATCACAGCTGCACGTCAGAGTTTGCGTACGGGGTCCCGCCTCAGGTTTTACCCTCTACACACCCACACTCAACCATAAACAGTCAATGTAAAGTACCTCATGAATGTTAAGCTGTATTTAAATCAGTCAGATGATCAGTGTCAACAAAAGTGAATGGCTCAGACACGCTCCTTTGTGTGTCTGGATGATGACAGGTGCTGACTGACAGCTGCTCACGTGAACAGATTGTCTGTAATAGACACAGATTCTCCCTCATTTTGCGTTAGAGTAATCTAACGATTTTTATAAAAATCTCAGCTTCAAATTAATTTTCCCTCAGAGCCTGCAGGATGATAAAAACAATAAAAATAAAATTAAATAAGTCAGATAAAATCAGAAATAAGTTCACTGCTCTTCTCCTCGTCCTCTCCCCCTCCTGCCTGCTCTGTTATCCGCGGCAGACACCCCTGCCCCGCGCACGCACACACACACACACACACACACACACACAAACCGCGCGCGTGACAAACACGGACTTTAAACGTTAAGGTTTATAACATCCACACTGGCGAGGTGGATGCGCCCTGCGTGTGTATCCAAAGCGTGACTTTTGCTGTCCTGCTGTTCTTGTCGGGGAGGGGTCTGTGGGTCAGGGTTGTCTGAGGAGCAGATGAAGGGAGTTGCACACGGGAACTTTTATTTAAGATTTAAGTTTTTTTTTATTTCAAAGGTCCTCATGGCTCAGCAGCAGAAGCATAAATATTACTGTTAAGAAAGCTGATGATAAAGTTGAATAAAAATCTAAGTCTGATTATGAAGGTAAATTAAATATCTGACAGTGATCATTACACAGTGTGGCTCTAATTCCTCACTTCACCATCTGTGTCGCAGTTTCACGTCTCCAAAATGAGCGTACGCATGGGTCAGAGCTGGCGTGAAGCACATTTTCATGTCAAGTTTGGATTTTATAAATCACAACCTTGGCGTAAAAAGTGGCGTACGCAAGTTTCTGGGCTCAAATTGTGCGTACGCCAGTTTTATAAATCCGACCCCAGGTCATTCCAATGGTTTTTTTTTTCTTTTCTGATGACACTGCCATATTCCAAGACGACAGTGCCAGGATTCATGGGGCTGGAATTGTGAAAGGTGGTTCAAGGAGCATGAGACATCATTTTCACACATGGATTGGCTCCACAGAGTCCATTGAGAATCTTTGGGATGTGCTGGAGAAGTCTTTGCACAGCGGTCAGACTCTACCATCATCAATGCAAGATCGTGGTGAAAAATTAATGCAACACTGGATGGAAATAAATCTTATGACATTGCAGAAGCTTAATGAAACAATACCACAGTGAATGTGTGCCATAATAAGAGCTAAAGGCGGTCAATCAAAATATTAGTGTGTGACCCTTTTTTTGACCAGGCAGTGTAATGGCGGCTCCTCTGCACATCTCAAACCACATGACGTCCATTCCAGTGATATATGTCAAAGGTAAAATATTAACCTAATTGTTTTATCGTTTCGTCTTCCCCTCAGGAGCACCACTTAACATCGTCTCAGTGCCAGCAGAAAACAGCGCCCTCCTCAGGATGGAGATAGAGACTAACTGGACCACATCAGTTCACAAGCCTCAGGTTTTCACTGCAGAACCTGTCCAGGTTTTGGTGTTGTGTAAAAATGGAGTCATTTACACGATCGATGCCGGACAATGGGTGGAGTCCTGTTCCGTGCAGCTCACTGAAAGGTTCTCTGAGAATTTCCAGATTTGATATTAATTTAATTGTCTTGTCTTTATGGTAATTATGATACAGTAGATCAAATTTATAAGGTTGTAATTTTCTATATTTTTCTAGGCCCAAAGACAGCAGAGATCTCCCAACTGTCATTATGTCAGTGCCTTTTCTAAGAGCTGTGGTAGGAGCACCTAAACTACTGATTTCTTTTTTTTCAATGAAAACTGTTTATTCTAGTAATTTAATTTAATGAATGTAATTTCAGACTGTTGGGTGTTGCTGACATATTGCTTTCCTGCAATAGATGCTCGTGGTTCAAAGAAATGGAAAAATGTTCCTCCAAGATGTCATCAACAAAACCACGGTGTGTTCCTTGACTCCTCCTGTATCCCATCGAATCGCTTCTCCCTGCAGCCCTGTTTACGCACTGAACACCAAACAGCAAGTCCTTTTCATACGAGGTAAACAAAAGGACCGCTCCGCTGTTTGTTTGTGTGTTTGTTTCCACCGCCTGGTGAAGGAGCGTAATACGTCCACATTGTTCCCATCTTTCACTCAGGCGACCAGGAAACCAGCTGCAGTGATCCTTCAAACAAAAGCYGCCAGATTCAGCTGTTTGTTTTCAGGTTTGAGCAGTCTGAAATCATCCGGCGGTATGTTGTTTCACAGCCAGACTCCCCTCAACAATCAACACTCTGCTGTCATACTCTGGAGGAAACCCTCAATCTCTACCTTCAGCAGAGGTTCACGTTGTTTTGACCTCTCAGTCCGAGTGTTTTATTCTCAGGGTGGGTCAGATGATACCAAACTGTTCATATTTGTGTTTTTCTTTGAAGACTGCTGTCTGTGGATGAGAGGAAGAAAAWTTTAGAACAAACATGGAAGAGACTACAGGAAACTGCAGCGACGATGCAACGATCGCAAGGCCACGAGCATCTGAACTGAGAGAAAAGACTGGTTCTGCAGAGGTACTACAGAATATATTGATTTAARTGGTTTTAGTATCTTTTAGAGAAACAAGTCTGATTTAAATTCAGAATTTTTTCCAAGTATCATAGTTTAACGCGGTGCAGACCAGTACGTGTTTAAACAGGAAACTGCTGCTGTTATTGAATTTGTAATATCAGGTTCATCTTCACCTCACCATCAGATTGTGCTGCAGCGTCTCGGAGGAATATTAACAGACGCAGGTTTTAATATGAGGCCTCATTTGAATTTATAATAAATGTTCATAAAGCTCTACAGAGAGCCGCTGCCAAAGGCTCCTTTATCTTTAAAGTGATATGAGGGTGTTTTATTCAGAGCACTCCGTGTTTACTGTCAGCTTCATTAAAATTTAGCTTCCGCTGAAGCCAGACATAAACTGTTTTGAACTGTGAGCTTATTTTGTTAGAAACAAACAGATGAATTTATTAAAGTGGTAAATACATTTCAGTAACACATATCAACCATTTTCCTATTTCCTGTTGCTAAGGAGTAAAGGATGGGAGCTCAGGTGGTTTTTCAGTGTATCTGATCAGTTGGCTCAGCTCAAAACGTCAAACAAATAGCTGGTTTATCAGTTTTTCAGTTAAACTAATATCTCTGTGGGCTGCAGCTGCTGGCGACCGGTCGATGGGCGTCATTTGTTAGAGTCTCCAGATCGACCCGCAGCGTTCCGTTCGTAGTGGTTCTCGGTTTGTGAGTCGCAAAGCCTCACAAACTTGTTGATTTGTGTTTGAACGTGTTTAAAATAATTTGTGTAGTTTGTTTTTTCTCAAAAAAGTGCCGCCATTGCCCATTCTGGGCATCTTCAACCTGCACAAAGTGTTGATACTAAATAATATGAAATAAAAGTTTGGTTCAAATCTGCCTGTCCATCCATCCATCCATTTTCTGTACACACTTCTTTCTTTTCAGGGTTGCGTGGGTCACTGGTGCCCATATCCAGCAGTCACAGTGCGAGGGGCGGGGTACACCCTGGACAGGTCGCAAGTCCATCACAGGGCCACACATAGAGACAAACGAGACAAACAACCATTCACTCTCTCATTCACACCTAGGGACAATTTAGAGTTATCAATTAACCTAACAGTCATGTTTTTGGTCTGTGGGAGGAAGCCGGAGTACCCGGTGCCTGTCGTCATTTCAAAAAGTATAATTTAGTAGACATATGGGCTAGAACAGTGATTACCAACGCGGGGTACGTTAGGGGGTACGAGGAAAAATTTCTCAGGCGTGAAATAAAAATATGACAGATTTGTAGGACCCTATGATTTCCACAATGCGAAAATTACAGACAGAATTACAGAATTAACACAAAATGGGATCCAATATAAAACGTGGCATCTCTTGGAATTTGCTCATTTGGGTGAGTTTCTGTTGTATTTTGGACAACACAATGTATTATGGACGCTGCTGTTTTCTGCACCTGTCATTACCTGCTTTGTTTATTTGATTACTTATTCACTTTCAAGGCAAGGTTTTTATCTTTATGTTTAATGTGAGTTGAAAAAAATGCCTGAGAATTAAACATTCTAGGAGGTTAAATAAATAATTTTCATTAAATTATCAGTTGTAGTACATTATAATTTTGGAGAATCATCATTACATTTGACTGAAGGGGTATTAGTGGTGTGACAAAATGGCTCAGGGGGTACACAAGACTAAAAAGGTTGGGAACCACTGAGTTAAGACATGAATTGTTCTTCACCTTTCCACAGAACACCACTTCAAAAGATCCGAATTATCACTCTAAGGTACTAAAGGTTTTACGGAGGCCTAATGCCAACAGAAAAAGGCAGTGTTTGAGCAGTTTCACTATTTAAGCGTCAAAAAAGACACCTTCTAGGTTGTATTTTGCATTTGTAGTTGAGCAAAYGGAGATTATATTCAACACACAACAATGAGCAGCAGCTTCTATWACCAATATTAACTTTGTGACCCACTGTTTTTATCCTAACATGTAAAGCCACAAGGAAGCAAAGTGAGAATTGTCATTTGTAATAACTTTTAATTAGTAATTTGTCATGAGCTTATCTTCATAAAATGTTCTAATTCACATTTGTTTTTCTGAATTACAAACCCCAAAAGCTAAAGGTTTATGATTCAGGTAGCATGTAGTGACTGAGAAGACATTAGGAAGACAATAAGTCAAAAAGGATGGGTCTTTTGTTTTTATACACTATCATAGGAGCAGTGGTGGGCATGGTTCTGCTAATCAGCTTACAGCTAATGGCGCAACTAAATTTTCATTTAACANTATAATTTTGGAGAATCATCATTACATTTGACTGAAGGGGTACTAGTGGTGTGACAAAATGGCTCAGGGGGTACACAAGTCTCAAAGGTTTAGGAACCACTGGGCTAGAATACAGTTTTTGTATATAAATACAGTAAGTCGTGTAGGTTTGCTGGTCACCTGGTTGTGAAAAGTTATTATTGACTTTTATTTAACCAGGCGAATGTTGCCTGTTTTTGGTTTGTGGGAGGGAACTGGCATACTCTGAGAAAACCTGCAAACTCCACCCAGAATTTGATCTTAGTCTTCTAACTGAGAGGCGATAGCTCCACCAAGCAGCCATCAGACGCACAGATATGAGATATTTTACCAGAATCATAGAAACAATGAAAAACCTGCACGGTGTTTGTTGTCTTTATGGTTATCATAGGACGCTCTCAGGGTTGGGCTCTGCTGTGCCGTTGTCGTCCATCAGAAATCTGTTCCTTGAGGGTGTTTGCTCCYCTCTGTTGTTGTCGCTCCGCAGCATCAGTCTGTCCTGGCTGGCTCGCCTAAACTCTCTTTTAAGGGACAAAGAATTGGCAGCACAGGTAAAGGATCCGCTGATGACGGTGTTGTTTTCCGTGTCTATCCCCGAGGTAGCATGGCGGTAATGTCTCCGCAGCCCCTTTCTGAAGTGAATGGTGAACAGGCCGTAGATCACAGGGTCCAGGCAGGCATTCAGGAGCCCGAAGATGAACAGAATGTGGGTCAGGGATTGGGACACCTTATCCTCCAGGTCTTTAGGATAGAACCAGTACCACAGGCCCAGCAGGTAGTACGGAGTCCAACAAATAATGAACGACAAAACAATCACAACACTCATCTTTAGAGTTCTCATCCGGGCTTTGGGGATGTTATTTTTGGAACGTCTCAAATGCACTTCGGTGGACGGTACTAGGAACAGATCAGATGACAGAGACCAAAGGTTAGACCATTTAAGGATTCATCTCTGTTAGCAAAATATCTTATCATCCACCACACAGATTTTATTGAAATGCTTCAGGAGTCAAACTGATTCAAAATGTCTGCCACAGCTAAGTGATTATAACTGTCAGTTTCACAGAATTTGAGCTAAAATGTTCTGTGGTCATAGCTGAGAGTCATCTCCAACACATACTCTGAGCACTAACTGATACACCTCATGTTGCTTTCATCATTTGACCAAAATAGATTAAAACATCATTATTTTCTAAATAAAATCACTTTTTTTGTGTGTGTATTACAATTAAAAGGTTTTAAGCTAGCTTTTGAAGTATTTGATGATTTTCCAGCAAATATGACTGAAAGACAACTGAAATCAAGGTTATGGGAGAATATTGGTGAGAAGTGGCAGTATACATAAAAGTAACTGTAAAATCTTAACAAGAAGTAAAGGTAAAATTACAGTTGTCCTTTCTCAATCGTTTGGAGATCTCGTGGAAGATCCTGCTGTAGCAGGTGATCATGATGACCAGCGGCATCAGGAACAGACAGGAAAACGTGAACATGTTGTACGCCGTTTCATGCCAGCGAGCGGAGAAGCTCCCACGCGTCGTGCACTGGGTGAAATCCTCTGGGTGGATGATGGTCACACTGTGGAAAAGAAAGATCTGAGGAAGGAAATTAACTTGATTTAGATCATTTATGTTCTGCCAAACAAGGTTATTCTTGAGTAATCCCAAAAATTTTTTTGCTTTGATATTCTGGTGTCTTAATCAGCTTTGGTTCACTAACCAAGAAMGCGAGCAAGAAGCTTAGAGTCACATCACAAGAATGTCCCACTTTATCAGATCATGAGGCTGGCTGGGTCTTTTTTTGTTATTTCTTATGGAACTAAATTGGGGCAATAAAATAAAATAAAATAATTAAACTGAACAATAAACAAATAGATCAAAACTACTTTCTATCATATAATTTAATTTGTATGGCAAGCCATTGTATAGGTATGTATAATAAATATATGGCAGGCTGTTGTATCATAATTAACAAGGTGTGGAAGGCCGTTGTGTCATATAATTTAGAAACATAGCAAACTGTTAAACACAGTGAAAGGCAGTTGTATCTAATAGCCTTTATGCCACGGACATCCGGTCCAGCACTTGATGCCACTCCCAACACTTCCGGTTCARGGTCAACACAGTGTTAGCGAAAGATTTTTTCACTCGACGACTCTTAGTGATCTCCACAGTACAGAATTAGCATATTACATGTTCCAACATTAACACAGGAGACGTACAGGTCCAGCCAAGTGGAAAAAKAAATCACTCCAAAGTGGATTAAAGCCATAAAAACAAAGGAAAGACGTTCGTGTTTATGGTTCCAGAAATTAGCCTTTTTCGCTATTCCTTAGCTGCTTGTTCTGTGAATTTTTCACGTAGAGCTGTGACACTTATATTGTTGGAAAGAGCAGAGTCTGGGCTTTAAATTGATGGGCTACTTGTATGGTTTGGATCGTTTTCCCCGACGTTAGTGAACTGAAAACGTAATGATAATCAGGCGGAGGTTCTGCTGCTCTCGGTGCTCGTGGGGAGGAGGCGGAGGGGCGCGCTCGTCACACGGCTTTAGTCTACACCAGAGGTGCCCAAAGTGGGGCCCGCAGGCCAAGATTGGCCCGTCAAGCCATTTGATTTGGCCCACCAGTAGTTGTCCTGTTATTAGATTGTAATTATGTTAAGATTAAATATTAAATACAAGTAACTACAAGAGACATTTAGATTAGATTTAAGCCCATGTCTAGATCTGCACACCTTATAAGACCACATATACTCAAATTTTAAATTATGAAAGGTCCCATGAGTCATGCTGCCTGAGCATACGTTGAATTTTCTCCATGTCCATGGGTTGAAAAAAAAAACTAAAGAATGTGGGCAACCACACTGGCTGCTAGCTTAATCATAAAAAATAAAACAACTTTACTTAAGTATTAAACATTTCTTATATTATTGCATTTGGCCCGCGGCCCTCAGATTGATTTTAATTTTGTCCCTCTCAGGAAAAAAGTTTTTTTTAATTTTGGCCCTCTCAGGGAAAATGTTTGGGCACCCCTGGTCTACACTGTAATATACACTCTAACAAGTTTTTTACTTTTGCATAAAACTCATGACAAAGTTACCTAAAAACATTTCATACTCTGTATAACAAACGCGCGCACATATATACACCCACCTACCTTTGTACCGGCTGCTGTTAGCTTCCTGCTAGCTATCCTCCTCCGTCTTGGCAGTAAAAGGGGATAAATGTACATTTCCCTTTTGTAACCTCCGTCTTCTCATTTCTGATGCTGACTCTTGAATATCCTCAGGTTAGAAATGCCGATTACAAACGCAAGCGTGAGCTTTTAAAGATAAGTTTTCCCTGTAATGCTATGATCCACCGCTGTCACCTCCTCATCAAGAGAAAAATGGAGAAAAACTAATGACTCTATTGTACCTGCTGCTTAGTGGACACAACGGCACACAACAGAACTCACGTTTTATACCAGAAGATCACAGATGCTTTAACTTTTGTGACTTTTTCACGGACTAGTACTAGCAGCTAACACTAAAAACATAGGCAGTAAGCAGGAAGTGGAAGGGAGGAGTGTGGCAAGAAATTTACCGGAAATACGTCATTAATGACTGTGGCATATAGGCTATTAAGAAAATATGACAGGCTGTTGTATCATATAAACATTTTTTTCAATTAAAATAAAAATTTCAGTATAAAATTTCTGTTTAGTTACAAAATCTTTTTTCATTGTCAAACCATTTGTCTTCAGTGCTCAACCTTTTCTTTCACTTTCAAAAAATGTTTTAAACAAACAAATCAAATAATATGGATTTTCAGTCACCATCAGAGTTAAAATGTACGGAGTCCGCGAGGAGACATGGGGAATTTTTTTTTCTTTTTGCATTCCCACGCAGAAGTATTGCGTTACCTCGCAATAACTTTTGCGTTCCCTCGCAAAAGTCGTTATAACTGTTGTGCCTTCCYCTTTATTAACAAACTCASATGTTCACCATTAGCGAGTTAGCCTACTGCTTTAATTCAGCTTCAGAATGAATATATCACACAACCATGCATGGAACTATGTCATATGCCGATATTTTAACACAGTGCAGCCACGCAACATCAATGTCAATTTCACGAACTTGTGGCGACACATCCTGTTTTGGTAACCGGATATTTCAAAATAAAAGTCTGATTTAATTCAGTTTGTATACAAATCAAACTTTTGCGTGGGAACGCAAAACAATATGGCAACGCAAAAGTATTGAGTGGGATTGCAAAAGAAAAAAATCCCCCCATGTCTCCTCACGGGCTCCGTAAAAAGGAGATTTTTTTTAAAAAGTTGTTCTAATGTATTTTTCAGTTTTTCACATGAGGAGTGCAGGTTTTTCTCTGTCTGTGTTGCCCCGGCCCCCTACGGCACCTTTTCTCACATGGGTGAAACCCGGGGGACTGTGTTGACAGTCACAGGTTTGAACCCGGTGGATAAATCTGCGTGGGAGAAGTGGACAAGGCCGCTGAGACTGAATGTGAGCAGAACTAAATGCTCTGCAGTGTTTCATTTTATTTCTACACCATGCTGCCTAAGGTGACGAGTACCTTTCCAACTTCATTTTTGCTCAATGAAAACAACTTTTTAAATTTGTCTCACACAGAACTCAAAGTACCTGCAGCTGAATGCAAATGATAAAAAAAAATGGTGACTGAAAAAACCTGAGCCATTAATTTGATGTGTGATGATCAATAGAAACACTTAAGCGATTAAAACAAACAGCCTTGTTTCATTCAGGCTGCTTATCTTTGATGTCAACACAGCATGACGGCAATGATGCCTCACAACAAGGTCCTGGGTCCGATCCCAAGTTTGGACCAAGGGTCTTTCTATGTGGAGTTTACATGTTCTCCTCGTACTTGTGTGGGTTTTCTTCCACAAACCAAAAACATTGCCTTTAGGACAAGGCCTCCCTTTGGTTAGGAGCCAAATCTTTCAACACATTTACAGTGGTTTGCAAAAGTATTCATACCCCTTGAACTTTTCCATATTTTGTCACATTACAACCACAAACACAAATATATTTAACTG